ATTTAGGACCTTGTCTCCAAATCTTCCACAGAGTCAGGAAGGCACAATCAATTATCTCTTCGGCTGGCTAAATATTGGCTTTGAGTTCTCCATTTGGGATCTTGTCAAACCCTTGGTCCTATCTCCCTAATGGCTCTAGAGATGATGTTTGTTCCACAGCCTCCCAAGAGTTTTAAATGCTTGTGGATGGACACTGCTCAGCAAATGATCCCCTGGAGCAGTGACAAACAAAAGGCCAGGAATGCCATGTGGTGTGTTTTCAAAGGCCTATTTAAATTCCCCTTCCTGATCTGCAAGGTCCTGCAGCATCTGGTGCTGATCAGAGAACTGATTATAATCTAGTCACACTCTCAGGCCAAACCCAGAGAGGGGACTTTATAATATAATAACAGTGGGGGCCACAATTGCGTATGCCCCTAGGCCAACCGATCATTGCAACAGAAACTAAGCTATCTAAATTTCCTTGAAATGCAAGCTCTAAAGAAATACACTTAGGGTTTTTCTTTCTTCTCTGTATGAAGAAGTTAAAACAACCAGTCTTAGGCAAATGAGCTTGTAAAGGTCTATTTGTTGGCTTCAAAAGGATACATGGGTTTTTTTTGGGGGGGGAGGGGGAGTAATCATAAGAGACGTCAATGAATTTCTTCCTTTAATCTTTATACACTACTCAGTAAGTCTTGACAGCCAAACTTGGCTTCTCCCAGTCACAAGCTGTCCTTTGGTACGTACAACACACTCATGTTGTTTTTAATACCTTACGTGATTTTTATCTGGACAGTGTCTTCAGTGCCTTTCTCACCGCATGGTGGGTCTCCATAACTCCTTGTTCACCTGGCAGCTCTCTTCAGAGAGAAGGATGTGGGAGAGCCTGTGACCTAGATCTGAAGACTCCTGTGTGGTTACTTTGGCAACATTCAGTTCTTCAGCTCAAGAAAGTAATCAGGACCCTCCATCAGCTCATACATTCTAAGAGAGCATTAAGCATTTGAGGCCACATTTCATTTATTAGAGAAAGAAAGGACACTTCTACATAGAAAGGCCAGAAACTACAGGAACCATCATCTGGCTTTAAAAGATACCAATCCTTTTTTTTTTTTTTTTTTTTAAGTGTAACAGAGACAAGGCCAAACCATACAAAATATATCTAAATATAAAAGTTTAACAGAGGTGAAAACGAGTCTCCAAATGCTTAGCAAAACAAGAATTATATCTCCTTCTCAACTTCTTTTGCTCAAAGAAATAGGACCACAGGAATTAACTGTGGGTGTGGCAAGTCACTGCCACTGCTACCAGTTGATAAATGAGCAAAAAGGACCCTAGGAATAATCTTGGGTTTGGCCAGTCACTGGTACCAAGTGATAAACGGGCAGATTCCTCTGAAATGACACTTTTTCTTTAAGTTGGGTCAGCTCATTTGCAGGAGGCTCGATTTGAGATGAATTTTGTAAGACTACTTGAGAAAGGTCAGTTGAGATCAGTTCTAAGAGGTGCTTGCAATTAAACGCTCACCAGGTGTGGGGAAGCACCTGCCGAGCATCCGGACCAGAGTGGATTAGCAAGACCTTGCTCGGGAAACTTGAGTTTAGCCAGCCCACCCTCTGAGACCCTGGGACAGTCACACTGTGTAAAAGCCTCAAGGTCTCATTTGACTTTGCTGAGAGCAGTTTAATCATTACAAAAATACATTTTCTGGCTGCAAATATAATCGTCCTTTCAGGAAGGGATGCTCCAGTGTCCCTCCCATGGGCTAACAGACTATGGAAATGACGGGTCATCGAGTAATTGGAATTTTCCTGGGATCCTTAAGCTAGAAGAAACCTGTCTCCTGGAAAGAGATTTTACCCAGTTTTGACAACTTGTCAGACCACTTTACGGAAGCCACTGGAGACAGGATTGGTGTGAGCACCCCCTTAATGGGAGTGCTTAATTTTGCAAACCTCCTGCTTTCTAGTTATCCCTAAACCTCAAGCCAGGACCCTAAGGATGGACATGGGTGGTCGATGGGGCTCTCGCTCCTCTTCCCAGTGTGACTCCATTGACTAAAGATTCTTTTTCTGGTTTTCAGTATATTTTGTTTAAACAACCTATTGAGGACAGGATGAAGGCTTACTTTGGTGGGATCACGAGAACCCAATGCTCTAACTGTAACTCTGAAAACAGGAAGAGTCTGTGGGTTTGCAGCCCACAGACAAAAGGCTGTATAAGTTAGTTATTGTGTGTGTTACTTAGTTTATGTGCAGTTCCTTTTGATCATAGCGTCTGGCACTCAGGAGATACTTAACAGGAGTTGTTTCATTTATGTTCTTTCAAGACCAGTTTACAGAAGCCATATTATTTTTATTTGTTTGTTCGTTTGTTTGTTTCTGAGACAGGGTTTCTCCCTGTAGCTCTGGGTATCTTGAAATTATGTAGGAACAGCCGGTCGTGAACTCACATATATCTACCTGCCTCTGCCTCTCAAGTGCTGGGATTAAAGGCATGTGCCACCATCACCACCAGGTCAGAAGCCATATTCTTTCCTGAAGTTCTTTTTCCCCAGGTAACATTAACCCAAGAACATGAATATATACGCATATATCAACTAAAAATTAACAGTGGCTCTCTGGAGTAAGCATAGTTCTCTTGTTCAGTAGTTTAGTCTATAAGGTAAGCTTCTTTCTACAAAAACTGTTGTATTTAGTCTAGGCTCCACTCCCCAGTTACCTGGCAATAACCAGGTGTGCCAACTCACTATAAAAGGGGCTGCTTGCTCCCACCTCGCTCTCTTGCTCCTACTTTTGTTCCTTACCCTCTCTCTCCCTGTTCCCCTCCCCTCTCTCCATGCTTATGGCCAGCCTCTACTACTCTTCTCTCTCTCTCTCTCTCTCTCTCTCTCTCTCTCTCTCTCTCTCTCTCTCTCTCTCTCTTTCTCCCTCTCTCCCTCCCTCCCTCCTCCCTCAACTCCCCTCCCCATGCCCTGAATAAACTCTATGCTATACTACACCTTCCTGTGGCTAGTCCCTCAGGGGAAAGGGATGCCTCAGTATGGGCCTGCAGAGGCGCCCTGTTCCCCTACACCTGACTATACATCTACCAAACATATTCCTTCTTTCCTCTTTATTTTTATAAAACACAACAAAAAGTACCTGCTCTTTTGGGGGGATCTTTTTTTTTAAAATCTTATTTGAATTTATAATGATCAAACTTACTTTTTAAAGAGTAAGAGGTCATGACATTAGTGATGGCTCAGCAGTTAAGAACTACACTTCCAGGGGACTAGGGTTTGATTCCCAGCATCCACATGATGGCTGAATCTATTTGTAACTCATGATCTAGGGATCCATTGCCCTTCTCCAGCCTCCATGGGCACCAGGAACACATGTGATAGACATACATGCAGGCAACTCCCTCCCCATACAATGTATATGCTGTGATATGGCATGGAGGGGGTTGACAGAGGAATTGCATGACTCCAGGGACTGGGGGGTAGCCTCAGCAACAGAGCTAGGTTATATGTAAAACACAAACAAAAATCTCCAAAATAAAGACTCCCCCCCCACTGTAATCTTTATTATGTGATAATATCCCACAAAGTAGGATGGCAGAACATTAGGGAGACACGTGGAAGGAAAATAAGCCATTTATCTGGAGTTTGATGAAGCCTTTTCCATAGGAAACAAGCATTCCATCACAACTAATGTTTGCTGTGTCACACAGAGACAATATTATCTTCATATAGACCTCAATCAAAAATGTAAAAATAGCAATGTGTCGCTTTTAACGCCTCAGAGTAAATGAAATGCCCTTTCTTCTTTGCCATGTGTGAGCCCCGAAGCAGTTTTCTAGGAATCTCACCTGAATCCCCATTTACAACAGAAGGAATGTTTTATCTAGTAGGACGCTTGCAGCCCATGTCTTGATCTTTTCAGATTGTGATTCCACGCAAGGCGCCACTGGAGCCACCCTATAATTTCACTTATCAAAAAAAAAGAGGGATTTTTTTTTTGGGGGGGAGCTTCTTAGCAGACCTTTTGAGTTGTAACTTGAGAGCCACCAAAATGGGCTATAAGGTTACTGTTAAAACAGCCGTGAAACCTACCAACCTGGTCTTGGGTGTGTCTTAATCTTTGTATTAGCCCTCACGTTTAAATCTACTCTGAGAAAACTTCCTTTTAAATTAACTCCAGCTGTGCTTCACACAGCATCATTCTTTAATTCCTTCCTGCAGTTTTACAGTGAGTGGAGGTCCGTAAAGGACAAAAAGCTGCTAAGTAAGGCTTGCTGACTGTCCCGGATTTGAGGCTCACTAGTTTTAACTTAGAATCCTTTCCAGCTGAATAGGAAAACAATTGTTTTTAACTATCTCAATTTATTTGATAGGCGAGTAAGAAATTCCAACCTCCGGGCCCTCGTGGAAAAGAGATAACATTGTATTCCACAATGTTTGACAAAGATGAATGGCCTTCTCCAGTTTACACAGTATCTCCTTAACTTAGTTTTTGCTTCTTGAGCTCTTTGGCGCCAGGAAAACTGTTGCGGCAAGCAAACAAAGGGTGACCCACGGTGGGGCCTTGGGACTCTGAAACCTTAATCCGGAGGGAACTGGTCAAACCTTCGGAGATTGGGGGAGGGTATGCATGACTCCAAGAAAGCTCCAAGAAACATCAAGTACTGGGCTCAGGGACACTGGGTAGCGCCTTTCCGTCTGCCAATAAGGAACCTTTGTACATCCAAAGATGTTCAGGAGCATAACGATCCTGTCCTTTTCACCTGTCACATCAAAGTAAATATGTGAACCCACCCAAAGGACGGAGAGAACACTCTGTAGAGAGTAGCAATCCCTCCCGGAGGTGATGGGCTAGACACACCTGGCTGGCTTGAGGAGCTAGCTTCCTCCTCAACCTGGGCAAGTCGAGAGGGTGGGGGAGGGAGAGGATTCGGCGCCAGGGTTGCACAGCACATCCGGGCGCGCCGGCAGCGGGCTGCGGGCTGCATAATTGATGGAGGGCCGGCGCAACGCTGGGCCGGCGTCGGGTGTACTGGGAGCGTCTCGGGGGTGGAGGCCAGGGCGGCCGGGCCCCTCCCACTCCGCTTTTTCTCGCGTGTCCTGTCCCCGGGACTGGCAGTGGGCGCCCAGTAACCAGCAAGTGTATACACAGGGACAAACGGAGACCGATCTCAGCAAGCTAAGAGTGCAGTAGCGACCTCCTGGACCGACCCGCCCGCGCCATGCGCTCGAACACTGGCCTGAGGGCGCTCGTGGCGCCTGGTTGCTCGCTCCTCCTTCTATGTCTTCTGGCAGCGATGCGCCCGGACCGGGCTGAGGGCGATCCCACAGGTGCCTGGGGTACCGGGGCTGACGCAGGGAGGGCTCTGGGTACACCGGAAGAGGCTCAGTGGCGGCTACCCTCCAGCCCGACGACATCCCTTGCCGCTCGCGCAGGGGCTGCGGGGATGCAGGCGCAGGCGGCTACGGAGCGGAGCGGGGGTGGCCTTTCATTGGCTGGGCGCGTGTTACCCAAGGAGCAAACGTGGGAGCCCGGGTGGCTCCGCATCCGCCGGGTCTAGGGGTGATTCCGTCCCAGTAAAGCTCAGTTTGATCCCGGGAGCTGGTACTGGGAGAAGGTCGGATTTTTCCTACTAAATGGGCTAATAGAGTGCGTGGGTTCTTGCGGGGGGGGGGTGGGGAGATACTGGGGACTTCTGCTAGTGTGGCATGATTATGAGTCCACGGTCCCTACGGCCAGCTTCTTTCACTAGAGTCCACAGCGAGGCTATCGTATCACCTTTCCTCCTGGCAGGTGTTGATTTTGAGGTTGTTTTTTAGAGCAGAGGGTAAAAATCGCGACTGCCAGCCAACTCAAGTAAGCTAAGATAAGAAAATTATACGTGTGTGTTGTCTTTACACCACAATCTTTATACAAACAAAACATTTTCCTAGGGTGTTGGATTGCGTGTTTAAGGCATGCGGACCGAAGGATTTCCGTGAAAAACATTACCGGGTCAAGATCTATTTTGCTATGATAGCTCACTTGTTTATATTTTCTGTGTTGCAAGCGATCCAGTGCTTTTCAGTGGAAGTTCCTGTGTCTGGAGGCTTAGTTCCCATCCAAGTCACCACTCTAACTTCTCGAGCACTTGAAAGACTGGCCCACTGGGAACTAAGTCCAGACATTATTCAACACGAGGTTTCGAGCTGTTATACATTATTTCCATGAGTTTATAGCATGTAGATTGGTTGAACATAGTATAAAGGAAAATGGTCGAAGGGGCACACACACACACATACACACACTGTTAACTTGGATTCTTCTAGTCTTTGGATTTTCTTGTTCCACATATGTTTTCCATCATAAGAATTTAGGCGTACCTGGTTAGTTCTTCAGTCCTCTTCCACTCACCATTCATGATACATGTTTCTGAAAAGTATAGCCTCTTTTTCTAACTTCTTTTACCTCCCCCCTTCCCTTTTCCTCTCCTTGTTCCTCCCCTCCCCCTCTCTTCCTTTCTTCCTCCTTTCTTCCCTCTGCACTTCCCTTCCCTGTTGTCTTCCTCCTTTCTGTGAGTGTGGGCCTGCACGGACAGAAGCAACTCCACCCTGGAGCTACAAAATCCAGCCTACACTGTTGTTTTGAGATTCAGTGTGTTCTGAGTTAGTCCTAGAAGTTTTGCTTCTCCACTTGGTGGTGGTGGGAACTTTTCAGAGGGCTTTAAAAAGACCAGGTCTTGCCCTAGAAACAACTGATTTATTTAGCATAGAAGAAGTCAGCCTGGGCTTTAGTAGTTTTGAAAATTTTCAGTGTGAGTCAAAGCAGGCTAAAATCACAGGAGGACCCAGAGAGGGTGTGTGTTGTTAGATGCTCTGCTGACATCAGGTTGAAGTTAATGTACACCTCTGCCTTCTAAAGGGAAGAAACTAGGAAGCAGATGAAGCTGTAAAGAAATGTGAAGACTCAGCTCAAGTGAAAGGTACAAAATTTGCAAGGCATGGCGTCTGAATTCCCAGTACCCATTTGACCGCTAGCTCACAAACCCCTAACTTCAGTCCCAGGGGATCCTATTTGACGCCCTCTTCTGGCCTCTTTGGGAAATGGGAATAAATGTAGGCAAAGCACTCATATAAATAAATAAATAATAAATAAATAAATGGATCAATAAATAAAGTGGTGAGGCCACTACAACTCTTTCTAGATTCAGTATTAATTTGAATGAGATTCATCATAGTCTTCACTAAAGAAATACAGCAAGGTTTATTGGATGTTTTTGTCTTTATACTTTGAACTACATAGAAATAGGTATTCTGCTAAAAGAAGACTTTTGGGGGCCAATAGCAATAATATGAGTTACTGTACTAATATCCTGTAAGAGGTGTGTACCAGGCACTGTACTGTGCAGTGTGTAGCCCAATGAATTAGATTTTATTTCCTCTGACTTTCAAAAGAGGAAGTTGGGCCATCAGTTAAGCAATTGCCCCAGTACGTGGAGTTAATTTAGTAGAGAGCAGAAAGTTTAAAGTTAGTCAGTCTCCCTCTACGGCCCATTTTCTTAAACACAGTTCTCTCTGAGATCACTGGTTGTGCCCTCCAGAATTTGGAACCACTGACCAAGGACAACTACCCGTGTGAGTCTGTATGTGTGAAGGACACATGCATTTTTTTTTGAGTCTTGGAATGAGGTCAAGGGTAAGGCCTAGGGGCGTGAGTCACTAGCTTCTTCAAGGTTCTTTCTTAATATTTTTTGCTGCTTTCTTTATTTTGTATATGTCCATACACGTGTGCTCATGCGTGGGTCTGGCAATGCACATGTGATCATCAGAAGACAACTTGAGATTAGTTGTTTCTCCTTTGTGGGTTCTGGGAATCGAACTCAGGTCATGAGGCTTGCCTTCGGGTGCCTTAACCCGCTGAGTCATCTCAGCAGCCCTGGTTTTTTCAATTAAGGAGTAGGTAAGCAGGAATGTTTTGACATTATTATTAGTATTGTCAAGTGGAACAAACTGAGGTGATTTTTTTTGAAACCCTTTCAATGGAGTAATTTGGAACAGGCATTTTAACTTCCAGAGACATAGCTTGTATGCTGTGTTGATTAATTCTCTTCCCTACTAGACCCTATATTGCCTAGTAAGTAGTAAATACTTTTTGGAATGAGTCTTACGTACATCTGCCTGGCGTTCTGTTGGTAGAAAAGACTAGCAGTTTTTGTCTCTATAAGCATTTAAGCTGGTTAAATGAAGAGATTTATTACAAGCCCATCTTTAATTGGGATATTTCTGATGTCTAAAAATTTGGTCATAATTAAAATTATGTAAACTTTTGTTAAGAATATATCCAACTTCCTGGTACTCCATCACCCAACACTAGCTCCTTCTTGTCATATTTTCCTGAGTGGTCCTATAGTAATTGAAAGAACGGAAGCAGGAGGGACCATTACCTGGTAGGTGGAGCTAGAGGCACACATCTTAGTGAGGATGGATGTCTTCCCCCAAAAAGGACACATCGAGGTGTGAGGGCTCCTCTGAAGATTAGCTCACCCTGGTCTCAGAGCTGAGCAAGGTGACCAGGACTTCTACACAGGGGCATGTAGACAGGTAATACTTGGCTCCAGAGCAGACCAGTACAGAAGATCAAGCCTGAGTGGGTGAGGAGTGCAGCTGTGTGGGGACAGATGTGCGGACAGATGTGGCAGATTCAGTGGGATGACATACATATACACAGGAATTGATCATAGCACAGCCACTGTGCTATGTAGTGGGCGTTGCCTGATGTCTTAGATTCATTTTCTCTGACTTTAGAAGAGGAAGCTGATGCTCAGTTAAGCAGTAAGGAAATCCATCAAGGAAAGCAAGATGCAGGGCTTCCAGGAAGAGAAAAATAAGGATAAGAGGATGTGCAGGGAAGGAAAAACTTTGATATTATCAGTGTGAATTCATGACTATAAATCTCTATCAATGTATCCATGCCACATAAGTACAGATATGTGTATAATACATAATATATGTGATATGGCATCTTATGCATATGTGTTTCATGTGATCAGTATGCCATGTGTGTTTGCATGTGCATGGACACATTGGTGGCTCTGTCTATTGGTTTCTAAACAGTAAATATACTTAATAACCTAGATGTTGGCCTCCGGGCACTATTTTTAATAATGTTGGAGAAATCGCTGCTTTCCTCAGAGCTGGGGAGGAGAACTGTGTAGACCTGGGACATCCTGTGCCAGAAAACCATGAAGTACTTGAAGGATGATGAGTCATGTCTGAAAGATTCAGGAACCAATTTAAGGGATCCCCACAGGACAGATCTGGGCAAACAGCACCCAAATAAATCCTAGTAACGGGATGGCGGGCGGGGATGAGCCGAGAGGTCTTGCTGTGTAGCTGGGGCTGGCCTCGCCCTTAGGATCCTTTCCTATTAATCTGAGTACTACATTAATGGTGACATTGCTAAACAATATCGGAATTCATGAGTCCAGACTGATAAATATGAATTAAACTAGGGGGCTGTTTGCTGAAGCAAAAAAATACTTGATAGTTTTAAAGGAATTTCCTAGAAAAATCGTACGAAAAATCGTACAAATTCCAAAGGAGAAGAGTAACCTTACATTGGGGAACTGTGCTAATACTATAATCAAAGTAAAAGTCATCACTAGCAATGTTGGTTTTCTTTTAAAAAAAAGTTTTCTTCTTTTCTTTCCTTTCTTCCTTCATTTCATTCTCCTTTTCCTCCTCTACTTTCTCCTCCTCTTCCTCCTCTTCCTCCTCTTTCTCCTCTTCCTCCTTTTCCTCCTTCTTTTTGGTTCCCTTGTGCCATCTGGTCTGAGATGATATGGTAAGAAGTACACAGCATCAGTGGCATTGCTGCCAGGACTGCCTATCCCCAATCTAATCATACTACAATAGGCCTGAATTCTCCTAAGGGTCAAGGCTGAAGAAACAAGGCCTGGTAAGACCAGAGCTGTTGCTGAAGGAGAATAGAGATGGGAAGCATGTGCTTCTGACCTGGCCCTTCTGCAGAAGTGCACACAGGCAAGAGACTTAGCAGGAGTGTGGCATGAGCTGGCACTGCAGAAATGCCAGCTTCCTGAGCTCAGTGAAGCCTGGGATGCTGTGGGATGTTTCTTTTGCAGGAAAGACTCAGTAATGCCACAGAGAGGACTGATGTGTCTTGACAGCAATGTACCTTTCACACAGATCGGGGAAATGTCAGGTCTTGACATTTCCTATGATCCTTTGAAGAAAAACATTAACTCAGCTTTTTTGGAGGAAGCTTGATTTACCATAGGGATTCCATTAAAACAGTACTTGAGAACTGATCACCTGTGGGCTTGGTACCATATATATTTTACATTTATGTGTATATGTGCATGCAATTGTGTGTGAGTATATGTACCATTAGGTGCTGGCGGAACAGAAGGGTGTGTCGTATTCCTTGTAACTCAACTTACAGGTGGCAGTAAGCTACTTGGTCTGGGTACTGGGAACTGAGACCAGGACCTCTGAAGAAGCAGCAGGTGATCTTAGCTGTTGAGTTGTCCCTTCAACTTCTGGTACTATTTTGTAAAGAACATGTCCTTAAACAGAAATAGATGTGTATTGAGGCTGACTGACTCTCCTGTCCTCTCCTGTCCTCTCCTGTCCTCTCTTGTCCTGTCCTGTCCTGTCCTGTCCTCTCCTCTCTTCCTCCCTCCCTCCCCCCATCTCTCCTAATTCTTTCTGGCTTCTCATATTTCACAATAACAAGGACAACCTTGCCATTCAACAACTCAGCACACATGCACTAACATAGAAGGAAAAGAAAAAAAGTCCTTTTCAATGGTTTATTAAAAATAAACTTCTGAAGGTACTATCATCATTCAGGCATATCATAATATTTCTGTGATGTTATAGGAAGGAGAGACTTCTTTAAAGCTGGTGCTCTTCATTTTAATGAATACTTTTTCCCCCTTGTTAAGTTACTGAGTTACGTTAGCATAACTGTATCTATCTTAATCCAAGACAGAGTCTCCTCTGCTTTTTTTGGGGGGTGGGGATGGGAGTGGGGGGGAAGGGTTATGTATCTGTGGCTGGCCTCAGACTCACTGATAGACAAGGATGAAATTGAATTCCTGATAACCCTGCCACCACCTCACAAGTGCCGAGATTACAGGCGTGTGCCATCACGTTCAGGCACAAAACCTCTTTGGTCTTTCGGTTACACAAGTCGAGAACCTGAAATGGAATTCTGATTGATCTGAATGCTCAGAGTGCCTTTGCCATATATCTAGGGGCAAAGAGCAAGCCAAAGCTGGTTTTTTTTTTCTGTTTTATGCTTCAGTGATCCACCCAGCAATGGGTTTCTTCTTAAAAAGATCCTTAAAGTAGACCCAGGCAAGGAGGCTGTTAGTCACCCGTGAAGACTGACTTAATATTTGTGCTTTAAGTTATTTGTGTGTAAACTGTGTTGAACAGACCAGGGGGTTACAGGATGGTTTGCAGGTTATGAAAAGCAGCCTACTGAATTAAGAACAGGGGTAGAGGATCTGTCTCCTCAAAGCCAAGATTTCTCAGTCCTCATGTCATTTATGTTTGTGGTCTGGATAATGCTTGCTTGCAGGGCTGTTATTGTGGAATGTGTTAGGAGATAATATAAAAATGACATTGTGCTTGTCATTAAACTTTCATTTTTTAAAACTCAAGTATAAATGGCCTTCTTGTCTGGTAATTCTCATATTATCTGAAATACGCTAGTTACCTGTCTGGAAGATTATTCATCTATGAGTCTTAAAGGTTGACTTTTAAATGATACCATCAGGACAGTTCATTACATTGTGTTGGCAGCTCTTCTTTGTTTTTGTTTTCTTAATAAACTCTGGAATGTAATGTCCACAATGCAAAGTAGTGCCCTTCACACGAGCGATCACGCACAGGAACGCACACATGCATGCTCATATGCGTGTGTGCGCACACACACACTTCTGCTGCTGTTATAACAGGGAATAGGAATACTAGATACCTAGAACCTGGAAATATAATTCCAAATGCATTGTTCATGAGCAGGATTTTAACTGTTAATAATCTGGTGTAGTTTTTTTTTTTTTTTTAAAAATTGTGCATTTATAGTACTGTATGTTAGAACGTTAAAATGGGGATTTATTATGAATAATGTAAAGAGTATATATTGATAGTAGCAATAAAGCATAGAGGTGAGGCATAATAACAAATGACCACTTCCTTTTTTAGTACTGTGGCTTGAATACAGTCTTGTACCTGCTAGACAGATGCTCTACTGCTGAGTTATGCCATTTTATACAAAAATGATTAAATCCAAAACATGGAAACGTAATGAAGAGAGATAGCTCTGCAGTTAAGGGAAATGGACTGCTTTTGCAGAGCCAGCTTTGTTCCCAGAATCCTCCTGGCAGCTCATGGCCACCTCCACAGACTCCTGCGTTCATGTGATACACACAAACTCACAAAGGCACACACATACATACAAGTACACTCTTTAAAAAAAAAATCTAGAGAAGATGCAATGAAGTTGGGAATTGGGAAAAATAGTCTCTTTTAAAATTTTTTTCTAAGTATTAGGGGCTAAGCAGAGTATTTTGCATATGCTCAGAAATGTCCTACCACTGATGTATATCCTAGTCTTCTGTGATTTTTGAGGCAGTATTTCACTGGCTCCAAGGATTTGCCCAGGCAGGCCTTGAATTTGCAATTCTTCTGCCTCAGCCTCATGAATAACAGCACCGATCACAGGCCTGAATCATTTGGCCTGTAATCATCATATTTAGAGGAAATCGTTATTTTTGTAGGAGATGCACTTGAATGAATTTGTTTGCTTAAGTAAAAACAAATCTTAAGACTCCGAATCATTGGCTTGCATTTCTTCTGTCTTACACCCTTCCCAGTTTGCTTCCTTTAAACAAAGCACCAAGTTCAGTGTGTGAAAACTGGATAGTTTTAGATCTAGAACATTTAGTTCATCTGATAGTGCTGCTGCCATCAGTTATAAGCCCTTCTGTTCTAGAAAGATCTATTGTAATATGTAACACATGAAAACCACCTATATGGAAAACATTTTTCACATAGCATAACAATAGGTAAAAATTAGGTCACCACTCAGTTTCTTTGAGGCCATATCTTCATGCACCATCTCTCCTGCTGAGGGAGGAAGAAAAAAAAATCCTCTAATCTCTGGAACAACCACGAGTTGTTATTCTTTTATGTTGGTGTCTTGCCACTACCTGTAAGAGACAGCCAGGTGGAAAATGTCCAGAAATGATTAAGAAGAGGGTGATTGTAATACCTCGAAGAATGCATGTTCTAAACTTGGCACCATCTCCCAATATTTATGTGACTTCTCATCCCTGCCCCACTCCTTTCCCCAAGGATTAGTATTTACTGTAGAGACATTGTCACCAAAGCGTTGAACTGTGTCGACCCCATATTGATAGTTCAGGTCACAAGCTGCTGGCCCAACTTGGCTTGGGACATGCAATTCTTACCTCTCCATTTTGTTTTTCTTTTTTTGTGACTCAGCCTGATCCTTTCAGAGACACAGCCAAACCACATCGGTCTGAGTCTCTTCCCCTGCCAGTTTCTGCTGCACACACATGCTTGCTAAAACATCCTCTCGCTGCCAGCTGTCCTAGAAGCTGAGAGGTTTCCACACTCACTTCGTTGATTACAGAAAATGTCCACACAGAGAACTCACTTTTACTCTTCCAGTGTCTCCTCCCCTGCTTTTATATGGTGGCATTTGTTCGAGCTGCTGCTTAAAGGAATTCTTTTGCATGTTCAGTGGAAAGTAGAACCTAATAAAGATTAATGCTTTCGTTGGGAAAAGGTGGCATACTCTTTTAAGCCCAGCACTCAGGAGAGAGATGCAGGCAGATCTCTGAGTTCAAAGCCAGCCTGGTCTACAGAGCGAGTTCCAGGACAGCCAAGGCTACACAGAGAAACCCTGTCTTGAAAAACCAAAATAAGATAAAAAGATTGATGGTTTGATAGAAGATGTGGCGTTAGCACACAGGTGATATCAGGGTTACAGATCTGAAAATATATATATATATGTATGTATGTATGTATGTATGTATATGTGAACTGGTAGTTAGAAATGGCTGAAAGAACTAGTATGTTCTGGAACTCTCCAGATTATCTTGCATCACACGGCCTGGTTTTCCTTCTCTTATTATTCTTTCAGCCTCTGTGAAATGAAGTTTTTGTCCAGCTTCAGCCTTAGAGCCTATTCATCTTCCTCTTCCTAATGTAGATCCCAGATAGGTTCTTTCATAGTTCGTCCCTAGAGATGAAAAGGAAAATCGTCCCAGCTGTTATCTCCTGACTGTGATCTCATTCTCTTTCTAGAGTTGGATTTACACTCTGTAAACCCTGTGCTAACATGTGGAAGACACAGGCTTGGGACAGTTAATACCAGAAATAAGTGTCTCTCTGAAATTTTAATGACCCTGAATCAATTGTGACCCAAACAGTTGCTTTACCACTTGTTAGCTTTTTGGGACCCACTTACCCACCCCATCCCCCACTCCTCTTCAGCACACACTGTATACCAGGTGCTTTTATCCTTACTTGGGTAAGTGGGGTCAGAATAAAAATGTCACTAAGCACCCTCCCCCCCACCCTTTTTCAGTTGTTGTCACTCTCCTATGACTGGCCGTGTGAATCATCATAAAGATCCTCAGAGTGAGTGAGGTTTGCCCCTCTGAAAAATTTTCCCTTCTTGTTTCAGGGATAGGGTACTTAATGAAAAGTCTCACTGTGGTCAGCCAGGCCAGGGAAGAAGGGCTTCCAAATAAGGGGATATATCCTTGGCAACCTTCAAGGTTAGATGGCTGTCACATGACTTGCTTTTCTACCCATTTTTTCCTTCCTAACGAGCACTGAGTGTGAGTGGAGTCTGCCTTGAACTTACCCCATATGTGCTGTGCCCAAGAATGGGAATGAATAATTTTTATTAGGAAAAGAATGTTGACTAGACCCCTTTAACATATGTGTGTGTTATATATGTAATATATATTGCATATATATGTATATATATTGCATATATGTATATATATATGCTAAAAGATTAACACACACATACACATGCTAACATAACATACAAAACAAATACACACATTCAAACTCTGGTCATTAGGCTAGGTAGCAAGCCCGTTTACCCAGTAAGCCAGCTATTGGGCCAGCTCTGAGCTGTTTTTCAAATAGTCACCTAGCTGTGGTAAGAATATCTAAAATGTAACCACACATAATTTCTTTTACAGATCCAGCTTTTACAAGTCTACCTGTTCGAGAAGGAATGATGGCAAAGTACTCAAACCTTTCCTCGGAGAGCTATAATATCTCAGTGACAGCAGGTAAGTGGGGCATGTCTCAAAATGCCAAAAGAAGTTTGAAAAGGCTTTAAAATAAGTCATGGCTTTGGTCTTGCCCATCTTAGGTTTTAAGATGTCAAATGGTTGTAGAATTTTTGAATTAGTAAGAGCAGTCTGTTCCAGTAAAAAACAAACAAACAAAAAGACAAAAAAAATTACAATTATAAAATTAGTATCTAAACTCTTTCAACCTGCTTATTACATTAGAACTAGTATTTTACTTTTTTTTTTTTAAATGTCATATGCAGTGTTTGACTATTTCCCCAGTCTTTTGATCTGTTTCTCTAGTCTTTGTTTCATGTGACTAGACAAAGAGTGTGTGGGGTAGATTTTTCCAAGCCAATGCCAGTGTCAGAGTTTTTTGTTTTGTGTTTGTTTGTTTGTTTGTATAGACATTGTTGAAAACTTTGTGCACTTCCTTGTTATTCCCAGATGTTCATATTACAGCATTTGGGATTTATTCTTGTAAAAAAGTCAAATCCGTATTCCTGTGTTGTTATTTGCTCAGTGTGTGTGTGTGTGTGTGTGTGTGTGTGTGTATGCGCGTGCACACACGCTCACGGGCACGCACATATTCTAGTTGTTGGTTGCCTCGGTGAGATGTACTACTTATTTGAGGGATACAGGGGAGAATTCTTTGGCCAGTCTCACAGAGTGGATTTCAGGACACAAGTCTCACTCAGCACAGCCTGGTGCCTAGAAATCAAGGATTAATGCTCAAGGCTACAACAAAAAATACCTTATTAACTTAAACCGTGCTAGGTATTTATGTAACCTACAGAGAAGGCTTAACTCTTGGCTACTCTTTATTCTAGTAGTTCAGCTGAAACCAGATTCCTGCTCTTACTGAAAGAGCAGTTGTTCACAGCTTCCCGTTGTTTATTGATTGCCTTGATTTGTGCATGTCACTCTGGGTTTCCCCTGCACTTCACTTGGTTCCTGTCTGAGCATCTTAAGGACTGGTGCCCAGGCCTGATTGTGACTTCTGTGTACTTAGCTGTTTGTCCATCTTTCCTGTTAAAGATCCTGCTAGCCCGCCTGTCTTCCCCATGAAAGAAAGCCTTGTTTGTTATGGAGACACGTGAAGAGTGTGAGTTGGGAGCTTCTCTTCTGTTTCAACAGTTCTTATGAAGTAGAGCCTTTCTAAAAGTCTGAATTGATGTTTACTGGAGAAAAGCAAAGATCTGACATTACTTTTGGCACAGTTGAGTCTCTGGGCTGTGGTTGCATCTCATGTGGACTTTGACTTATTTCTCTCATGTTGGAAGCTACATTTATTGGTACGTGGAATTTAAATGTGAACCATAGGCATCATCTTACTTCCAGTACAGGTTTTAAAGAACCATCTCATGAAAATCGGTTGATCTTAAAAACTCTCTTGTCACATGTCGTTAGCACTGGCGTTAGAGGTTCTGGGCCTAATGACTGGAGTTTGTGTTTTCCATGAAGGCTACATTTTGCCAATAATGATTTCAACATTATCCTTGTTTGTAAATACTACTCATGCCATCTCCCTCTTGCTGCTTCTCTGCTTTCTTTTTTTCCCCTGGCCATTTGGGAAATTGATATTTCTGTTGGCTTAATGTATTTTTTTGTAGGGAGAGTCAACCATAATACCTTAGTTACAAATCCTGGGTCAGAATGCCAACTTTGGCTCCACTCAGTAAATTTACTTAATGAGAAAGGAAAATGTGGACCCTGTCCCTGAGAGAATGAACAAACATGGCCTTTGGTTTAAAGATGGAACAACAACAACAACAAAATGATTGCTTTTTTTAAACATAAAGTCTTTTTTTTTTCTTTTTTAATTTGCTTGAGAAAGTCATGGTGTTGACTGTGTGCCATATGTCTTTCCTTTTTCTTTTCTCTTAATAGGATTTTACCCTTCATAGCAATTCTTTGAGGTGAGCACTGTTATTATTTCAGTGTGTAGTTGAAAACAGAGACACACAAAGAGATTGAGGGAACTGACCAACCCTATGTGGCAACTGGCTTTTGAACCTAGGCAGTCTGGCGCCAGGGTTTGTGCTGGGCCAAATAACTTCTTAGGCCAAATCATTCATTTCTTTTAGCCGTATCACTAAAACAACTATGCTTGTTATTAAGGTGAAGGATAGAGTAGCTTTGAAGTGATATGTTCAAAAATCTATGAAAATAAGGTCATATTAAATGCTTTAACCCTAACTAGGTTAAGTTTAGAGATTGTATTTCCTGAATAATGAGTTTGTGGAAGTGGAATTGATGTTCCTAAAGAGGGAAAAATATCTTTCCCTCTCTCTGCTGTCACTGGGGTTTTTAAACAGATCTTTTGATAATGGACTGTTGGCAGTCATTGCTTTATATTACAGTAATTAGAATGTTTCTATATTGTTACTTCCAGTGTTTTCTCTTCTGCAAATTGTCCTGGGTTTTTTTAGTGTGTCAGTGTTGTAGTTTAAACAGTGAGATGGAAATCAAAACATCAGTTGGCCACTTTCTTGATCAGCCTGGTGATGCCGAGGTGAGCCTTTACTTTGCTGACCCAACCCAGATTGTGTTTACCAGCTGAGGTGTGAGCAGCTGACCTGGCAAGGTCCCCAGGAGGGAAGGAGGAAGCGTAAGCAGAAGTTGGAGGTGCACATATGCTAATTTGGCTGCTGTAAGGTTTGGTAATGTCACTGGAGATGATGAAATGCAGCCTTGTTGCCTAGCCACAGGCAGGCGGCAGGCGGAACCTCTCAGGTTGTAGGGTCAGGAGCTTGAACAAATGGACTGGTGTGTGTGTGTGTGTGTGTGTTCCTGTGCAGCTGTTCTCCTGGACTGCTTCTCTTGCCACAGGGAAGAAACATCTTAGAATGCTTTGGTGGCCTGAAGCAGTTAGTGATATTTTTAGGACCTAATTGTCAAGTATTACATAAAAACCAGTCATGCACAAAGAAAAAGAGTGAATGTGAGTGAGCATTGACATTCAGGAGGCGTAAAAGAGGAAACAAGACACAGTCCACTTGAGAACCAGACAGAACAGAAGTAAAAGGTGGCACCTGTCCTCCATCTGGGCTCTCTCAGTAGCAGAAATATTAGCATTGTTGACTAGAGAGTTCTTGCATGTGGAAGTCTGTTTGAGGCATTGTAGGATGTGAAATAGCATCTTAGATCTTTCTAGGATGTATAATGGCATCTTAGACCTTTATGTTGAAGATGTGAGGCCATATGTTCATGGGGGATACATTTGTCTTCATTCTGGTGTAAGTAACAGAAGGAGCTGTGTGTCTTAGTTTCTCATCACTACAGTGAAGTACCTGAAGCAGCCTCCTCCTGCAGGGGAGTTTGGAAACCCAGATAGCTTCCAGTATAATGCCCATGGGAGATGGTGAAGCCGTGTGGGAGAAAGCATCTCTGTGTCTTGAATCTGGAGATAGGGAGAGCTGTGTTCTAACAGGCTGGCTGCTTGACTTCTCATAAGAAGTTTGTTTTTGTTTGTTTTTTGTTTTGTTTTGTTTTGTTTTGTCAAGAGCTACTTAATCTCATTGTAGAGCTTCTAGTGATCCAAGGACAATGGGTTAAGTCCCTCCTTTTTTTTGGTGTTTGTTATCGTTTTTTGAGACACGGTTTCTCTTTGTAGCCCTGGCTGCCCTGGAGCTTGCTCTGTGGACCAGGCTGGCCTTGAACTCAGATCTGCCTGCCTCTGCCTTCCGAGTGGGGGATGTGTCCTTGTGTTCAGGCCATAATGTTTCAGTTTTTAGAGTCATACAGGTACACAGCTGTGACCACACGCAAGGCAGGGGTAGTAACGAGAAGCCCCAGAAAGCTGATCCTTCGTGGGTGGACACACAGTGGAAGGTTTGACCTAAGGGGTAGAACATTAGCTGACAGCCCAAAGGGAAGACAAATTGGCTTCTTCACTTTAGCTCCGTACAGTATTAAAAGCTCAGACCTCCTGTCTCTGTCAATTACAAAGAATAAAATACAAACAAGTCCTCGAAAGCCCTCCCCGAAAGTCCCCAGATTATTTATAGACCTGGGAGAGGCTTGGGGTACAAATTTATAATAGTTGGCACTATTGAGGTTCCACTAAGCTGTGAAATAACACAGAAAGGAACCCTTGTGGGTGCCTCTCCTGCAAGAAAGCAATGAAGAACCCAGCGGGAAGGCTGCACCCCGTTTCCTGGCTGTGCAGTGACTGCTGAACATAAGCATCCCCTCATGCTGAACATGAGGATGTGAACATAAGCTATCAGTGAGCTTCAGAGCACCTCTGATACACTCCACCAAGGAGCAGTAGGCTGAGCCATCGTGAACGCACGCTACAGAAACACGCATTAGAGAGGAACTGAGAGAAACATGCTTAATATTTTCGACATCAGTTCTTGGTGCTTAATACATATATGCTGCTAGCTTGTCTCTTGTATGAACAGCATAAATGGGTTAGTCAGCTAGGGTATTTTCTCTTAATGAGCTTACTTGCATACACTTTTCTGTTATTAATTATATAACAGTAAATACCCTGTAGATAACTCCATGGGCGTAGCTCGGGATGCTTTCTCTGAAGAGTACTGTGAAGCAGAATTACTGAGTTAGAAATGATGTGCACTTTTGGTAGATTCTGTGAAATTATCCTGCAGAATATCCGAACAGCTTGTCCTTTCCCACACCCACGTTTCAGCTCGTTTCTCTCTGTCTTCACTAATAGGAGATACTATCAGACTCTTTGAACTTTGTCCTTGGTGAGTGTTAAAGCCGCAGCACCGTTTAAATTTGCGTTTTGAATTTAAACATACTTTTCTCATGTCTGTGTATATTTGCTTATTAGTATCTTTTACTGATTTCCTGTTTGTTTTTAATAATTGGTGGAAATGAGGTAGGACTAAAGAACATATTCCTTTGGGGTGTGCTTTTTATAGAAGTTAAAATATTTTTGCCCATTGCATAGTGTGTGTGTGTGTGTGTGTGTGTGTGTGTGTGTACGCGCACATTTGCATGTGGAAGCCAGAGGTTGATATTAG